ATATATATATATATATATGATATCATTTTATTAATGTAATATAATGTAAATCAAATAAATAAGATCAAAAAATCAGTTCTGCATAACTCTCCTGAGAGAGTCATAATAAGATGGAGCTGTAATTCTGTCTACAGCCACATCTGTTATTCCACAGAAATGCAAAGAATAGTAAATTAGTTATTTCAGTAATTTGCAGATTTCTGTGTGTGTCTAATATACAATTTTATTTTAATTACCCTTTTGGTTTCATTTTCAGGTTTAATGCATGTTCACAATAAACTGGTGGACCCAGTGCTCAGCATAAAGGACCAGTAGAACAGAGATCACTAAGGGAGAGGACTCCTGGATCCTACGTGAGCAGACAGCCCTATCACTCCGGACCACTCTGGTACTGTTCTCCACCTGAGGAACTGTGGAGCCGCTGTTTGAGAGCTTATTGTTTACTGTTAGACTTGAACTGCCTTTGGACAATGTTACCTTCAGATTATTCAGATCATTAAAGGAGAGGTAAATGATCAGGTATCTTGCATTTTGATGTAATCATGAAACCGCTGCACTCATCAACAGTGCAGGTTTAGCACTTTGCATTTAAAAGATGATACCAGTGACTTAGTTTAATCTCTGCTGGTGGTCTAGGTTGGCCCTGTTCTTTTGTTTTTCAGAAGGTTAGATTGAAAGTCATGACAGTAAACATTTGGCCTTTATTTTGTTTTGGTGAATTAATCAGCACCATATACTGTATATCTCATAACTTTTCTTTCTGTTACAGGTTTTTCATCAATGATTAATCCCCTAATTAGCGATAGCCCGCAGGCAGCAGATACCACATGTTTATTGGTAATGTCTTTTACACAAGTGAGTGTTTATGGAACTGACTTAGCTCAAATGTAATGAAAAGTGACCTTTGACGTTGGTCACACTGTTGCTTTTGCATTTCTGTATCCAAGGAGTGTGAACCGTAGTGGCTGCCTGCCGGACACTAGAGTCAACACACAACATTTCACGTGTTCCAATACAACACGCTGTTTAATGTCACAGAATAATCTCACCTCAAGGTACACATATTGGCTTTTTACTGTATCTCAGGTTGTCACAGTAGGGAGCTCCATCACCGATATATGTATTGCCAAGGATTTGTTATATTACAAAGACTTATGAAGCAACTGCTAGTGTGATACGATTCACCCAGGGTTCCCACGTGTCCCACAGCCCCTCACTAAGATCGCCTGCATAACCTAGGTGCACATGTAGTTTGAAACTAGATTGTTGGTGTGTTGACACTTTTGCACAGGTTTACCAGCTGCAAAGTTGAAGTGAGTTGCAGCGATCTTTTTCATTTCAAGTCTATTTTTCCAGAGCTGTGAGTGAAATTCTCAGTCAATTTGCTTGAAACCGCAGCTTACCGCAGACTGCTATGAGTGCTGTCCTGTTTTGTCAACAAGAACTCTTGGAAAATGATTTGTGAAAAAGAGTGGGAACCCTGTTCACCCCTATTCTGATGCAGTGCCATTTGATTTAACACAATACGATATCATGCAAAAGAATATGATGCTATACAATTGAATATGGTACATGGAGAGTGTGATTTGATATGCAATTATTGGTCACATTTCTGCACAATAAAGGCACAGGGCCCCTTCCATTAATTATATATGAATAAATTATCCCATGCACCCTTTTTTAATGATCACATCTTAACAATCACATCTAGAACTTTCATGCAAATCAGTGAATCTTATCGTTTCCCCGTTGTCATCCCAGATACGGAACTTCAATCACATGATAACGGGGTCGTATATGGAGGGAGGTGGTAACTTTTCAGTAACCTTTTCGCAGTGCACGCTGTGTGCGAGTTTTGGTGTTCACAGAACGCTGATGTTTGCGGGATGTTGTGACCTGTGGTTGAAAGCTCCAAACAAGATTGTAAGTGAACCTTGAGTTGAGATTATTTTGTATCAGTGTTTCCATCAGGTTATTTTGCCGCGCATTGTGAAGTATCGCATTAGAAAATGCTGATGGAAATGGCAGAATTAGAAAATTACTTTTTGCCTTTTTCGAAAAAGAGTTCAACATCTGTAGACTACTGTTCTGTGCGTGCAAAGTGATGGTTAACTGTCAGTACTGTTGTAGTATCAGAAACAGTGTTAAGTAGAACTTGATGACATTATTTACCCCAGTGACTATCAGTTTATTACTGTCAAAGTTCCTGTCGAATGCAGCAGCATCTAGATTCATGATTCCTCTGTTCAAACACTTGTATAGTCTGTAACGATTGATCAGGTTCCATCTTCAGTGTTTGGTTACAACATTCCTTTCTTGGTTTTCTCATTCTAATGACACTCCTGTTGATCAGGCTGTTACAGTTCTGACTTCTACTCATTGTTTTTGTACATACACTGTAGTTTTTAACTCTTTATTTTCTAACAACAATAAAAAACACTTTGTTTAGAATCCTTAGCTTTATACTTATCTTTTATGAAACAGGTATTTAACATTAAAGGGTAATGACATTGTCTGACAGTTCATTTCAGTCTCAGCTCACACTTTTCATGTTGTGATGCAGTTCAATTGTTTTCCACAGTGGGGCAGTCATTCCTAAGATTTGGAGCCAATGGCGACCCATGTGTAATCTCATGGTAGAAATCATTGGCCAAACATACAACGGAAGCTCTGTGGTTTTATTTATTAGTGAAACCCCATTTTTACTGCAAATAACATCAACAACACATTTGTTAGTTTGTTTTAAGTTTTAAAAAAAAGAGGCTCAATATCATTTCTCAGAATAGCTTGAATTTAAGAAAAAAAACAACCTTTTATTGATCCCATGCTGTGACGGGGAGGTGTCAAAGGAGCATAAGTAAGTATAACAACTTTATAGAATATATTAGGAACCCTAAATCAGTGGGTTTTTTTTCCTCAAAGGAGCTCCTTTATCATTGAGTAAACTGACATATTTAATGGATATTTCATATTATGTTAATAATATTATAACAATAACAGTAGAGAACAACTGATAAACTGTACAATGAACACAAGAACTGCAGAAAGTTTGAATTTTGAGCAGATTATTTCCTGTGGATATTCAAAGTTTTCCTGATATGTTTAGCAACTTTTCATACAATTCTGAAGTTTAAAGTATTGCTTTAAAGGGATGATGCACATTAGTTAACATAAGGACTTTGGTCCACGATGTAAATGTGCCAGATTTAGCCATGCAGGCTCATTTTCATCTGCAGTCCCTGGCAGGTAGATGGCTGTCTGTATTATGTATTTTATTAATACATTTTAACAATCAGTACTTAATAGGCTTCTTTTTTGACAGATTTGGTTTTGGTTGTTTTCTAATGCAGGACGAGGCTGTTTATCAGATAGTAAAGGCTCTGTGAATAAAGCTTGTGTTCACGTCTTTAAAGTTTAGACCTTAAATAATCTAAACTTTAAAAATTACCATTTCATTTAGTTTTCTTCACAGAAATTAACAAAATGCTGAGATATAGATAGTTTTCTTATACACCTTATAACGAAGAAGGCCTCGCGACAGGTCAGGCTACGTTGACACTGCAAGTCTTAGCACTCAATTCTGATGAAGAAGGTTTACTGGCTGAAACAAATATTTGAAAGGAGGTACATTAAAGCTGCAGCAGGTAAATTTTAGAAAATGTTTTGTCATATTTGCTGAAAATCACTATATCCTGACAGTAGAATATGAGACAGATAATCTGTGATTATACCGTCCATGAACGAAAACAACCAATCAGAACCAAAGAAAGATAGAAATGATGCTTTTGGTTGCAGGCTTGAAGATAGCTGATTGTTGAGATCTCCAATTCCCAGGGTCCCAGAAGCATCTGTATTGTCGTCTGGGGCAGCTGTGCTTTAGAGGCAGAGCGGGTTGTCCACTAATCATAGTTCTTGTTCGATCCCCCGGCTCTCCCGCCACGTTAGATATCCTTGAAGCAGAACTGAACCCCGAATTGCTCTCGACTGCCACTGCATCGTGTGTGAATGTGTATGAATGCGTTAGTTTCTGTTCAATGGACTTATGCCATCACTGTGTGAATGTGTGGTGAAAGGGTGAATGTGGCACGTAGTGTAAAAACGCTTTGAGTGGTCGGAAGACTAGAAAGGCACTATACAATCATCTTTCTATCTTTCTCAGCTCTGATATCTAAATAAATGCAGCCCCCATCCACAGCAGGATGCTGCTTAGCATCCGTAGCTTAACCCAAGTCTGCTTCTCCAAACTGGGGGTGATTCTTGACTGTGTTAGTGTTCTTCAAATAACCTCCATGAAACCATTAAAGCTGCAGTTGGTTACATTTATAAAAAACATTGAAAAAACATTTAGTCTCAGAAAGCTGGTTGATTGTTGAGTTTTATTCCGAGGGCATCAAAGAGACTCAACAATAAACTATCTTTAACCCTGCAACCCAAAGTGTTTTTATATCTTTCTCGGCTCTGATTGGTTGTTTTCGTTCAGGCCCAGTGGATTCTTGAGAATGCCATTAGGAGCACTAGGAGGAGCCAGAGGATCCAGATTTTTTCATATGATATTATATAACATTAAATTATATTAAAAAGTCAAGTGGCCCCTTCAATATTTCAAGTACCCCTAGGAGTACACAGAACGACTGGTATAGAAATATTTTTTTTAAGTTGGTTTATGATCCATATGCTGAGTAAATTTGTCATTATACATTCCTTTTCGGTTTCTTTTGCATGTCCACCTTTGATTAGAAATAACGTCTCATTTGTACTATCTCTATAAAAATAGTTTTGTTGGAAGTTAGCTTTTAGCGTGTGAAATTTTCCTTTCAGACTGAATGGTACAGCAGACAGAGAGCCCCCTTGAGGAAGTCTCAGAAAGTAATTAAATCCAACAATTGCCCTTGAGGGAATGGAATCACATGGTGGCTAATGTGTCTGCAGGTAGCAGTGTTAGCAGCAAGAAATGCAGTTATTGTACATTTAAAGCAAGACTTGTCAACCAAGTGCAGGGGGTGAACAGTTAAACAGTGTGACTGTTCAGTCTGCTGGAAGTCAATCCCAGCCATCAAGGACTGTTGCATCTGAAAATGAGTCCAGCTGTTGGATGGCTCTTTTAAAGACCTTTTGAGTCAAATATGTTTGACCAAAATGCAGTTAGTGAAGGGCAGACAGAAGGTATGAGACAATGTGCCCTCTGTCCTTGGACGTCTTTTTCATAGTGGTGAGATAGTAGGGCACATCTTATGCAACCTGGTCTTGGAGTAGATGCCTTTGTCACATATTGCAGCCTTTTGTTTTTTTTTAGACTTTTTCGATATCCGATTAGAGTAATTGTTTGACATTTTGGAAAAATGACGTATTTGCTTTCTTGCTGAAGGTTAGACGAGGAGATCAATATCAATCTCATATCTGTCCGTTACATATAAAGCTACAGCCAGGAGTCAGTTAGCCTAGCTTAGCATAGAGATTGGAAACAGGGAAACAGTAATACATAATACTATTTGAATCAAAATTTCTGATCAACTGGAGCTCTCGCCTTCATGTAAGTTCAGCCAGAAAGGGTTTGATAAAAAAGTAAATGAGTTTGGATAGAGGGTCTGTTATTGATGATTGCTCTGCCTGATGGATTGTAAAATGTAAAATGACATGATGTGTGGCTAGGAATAGTGCTGCAGTGGTGATCCAAGCCTCTTTCTGAACATCATTAACATCTCAGTCAGTTCTTCTTTCATTCTCTGAAAGGATTTGACAGGGTCATGGAGTAATATTCAGGGTTGGCTGATGAACGAACAAATCAGCTATCCATGATTGCCTCTGTTTATGGCCAATTACCTTACTTTTAGCTGGTTAAAATGACTAAAATAAGTGTCTTTACATCCCTGGATTATCAGCATTGAGGGCATCATGCATGCCACTGTCACCGTCAGTAGTGTTACAGAGCTTTATTCACTGATACTTTTGCACAATGTCCTGCACAGCATGAAACCGCTCACCTGTAGCTCCACTGAGACATGTTCTATTTAAAGGCTATGTAATTCAGCAGTATACAGCAGCTATAGATGCAAGACACAGTGGGCACCATGCAGACCTCGCCTCCCACACACGCTGTTGATCTGACATATATAAAGATCAAAGCTTCACCTCTGAAACCAGCGCATTTCTACTGTATCAAAACAGTGGTGAACTCTTACTTCTGCAGCACCTTTCAAAATGCAATATATTATAATTGCAAAACCAGTGCATCTACTCCTGATCTACTCCATTCATTAAAAATTCCAGAATCTATGAATATGCAAATTTTACTTCATTTAAGATGTCTCCTACTTCACTGTGAAGTCCATTCTCAGTGGATGT